ATAACGGGTGTGCGTCCGGCCTTGGAGCCTCCCCCCATCCCCGGGGAGGGATGGACACACAGGAGCCGACACGAAGAGAGCCGGCCTGAGGGGTATGGAGGAAAGTCGCAGAGAACCGGTTTTCGGCACCGGGTCCTGCCGGCACCGGGTCCTGCCGGCGGGGTCGACCTGGCCCTGGAGAGGACGCTGGAGCTCAGGAAGCCTGCGCTGCCCCCGGCCCAGGCTCATGGGCCCCGGCTGTCCTCCCTGGTCCAGAGGCCCCGCCGTTGCAGTGACGGTGAGGGGCTCCCTCGAAGGCGGTCAGAAGGCCTTCCGAGGGCATGAGTTTGGAGCGGAAACCGGCGTGTCCGTGCAAAGGCCCTGTGGCTGGGACGGCTGGAGCTCGGCGGGGTGCCAGGCCGTGGGGAGAAGCCGGGGCTGCCTGGAGGAGCTCAGCCGATACCGGAGGTGGCAACACCACCCAGGGGCGCAGGGGTGCCCCAGGCTCCAGGCTCTGGTGGCTCGGGCCGGGGGCGGCGAGCAGATGGAACTGGGGGCGGCGGTGCGAAGCAGATCGTGGTGGGGAGAAGACGAGAGTGTCATGGCCGTCGGGAGACGCACCTGGCACCTGGCTGCCACTCGAGACAGCCGGGCTGGAGGGAGAACAGGTTTGCCAGGTCGGGAGGGCAGGCTATCCTAGACTCTGGAGTGGGGGCAGAGGCCCGGAGGGGCACCTGGAACTCGACGAAGCCACAGGCCCTGGTCCCTGCGGTGACACAGCCTGGCAGGGGCTGCCGCGTGCTTTTCGGATGCCCTGCAATGCTCGTGACTGCTTGTCATCCATCGGCAGGGTGGCTACCGTCCATGTCAGGCTGAGTCACCCGCTCAGCAGAGCACAAGGGCTTGCGCACTCCGCTGATGACTTCTGCAGGAACCAGTCTGGCTGGCGCAGGCCCCGGGCCAGCTTGGGCCTCCCTCAGGAGTGGCTGAAGTTCAAGGACGAAAGCCCTCTGGGGCTGGGAGGGTGCTGGCAAAGCCCGGGGTCCTTGGACTGGCAGTCTCTCCCCGTCCCTCCACACCCTCACGAAGGGCTCCCCTCCTCTGCGGTGGGACGCTGGCCACAGGAGAGCCTCTCAGGGCCACATCCGCCGGCCCCCACCACGGCACCCTTGGCCACGGTGGCAGACCTGTCCCCATAAGCAGTCAGGTGCCATTCCTGTCCCCACAGGCCCTGCCAACCACAACTCTGCGTTCCGTGTCTGTGGGTCTGCCAGCAGCGGGCCTCTCACAGAGACGGGGCCCACGCGGCGTGGCCTTCGCTGTGTGGCTTCTCTCACTTTGCAGACGGTGTGTCACATTCACCCGCACTGTGGCCTGCGTCGGCGCCGCTTCTAAAATCAACTTTATTGAGGTATGAGCCACAGGCGATTAGATGCACGCATTTGAGAAGACGGTTCGGGGAGTTTCGACAACTAAAAAGCCACGTGCCCACCGCCCACAATCACCATCGAACATTTCTGTCTCCCCCAAAGTCCCCTCCTGTCCTTTCCCAGGCCCCCACCCCAGGCCACCAGCCATTGGATCAGCGGCTTCCAGCTGCGGGAGAATGGATCTCTTTAGTGGGATCTACAGCGGGGGCCTGCGCGTCCTGCTCTTCCGCTTCGCCCAGAGTTCTGAGTTTGTCCACGTGGTAGCAGGAACGAGGTGTTTGCTTCTCCATCGCCCGGTGACGGACGCCTGTTTCCGGCTCCTGGCTGCTTTGAATAAAGCTGCAGTGAACATTTCCCACTGCCCACGACTCTGCGTAAACAACTAGGAATGGGATTGGTGGGTTGTAAGGTGTTTAGTGTTCCCTGCCTCAGACATAGCCTTGGGGGACACAGATGCAGCCTGTCCCTCTGGGCTTGGGGATAGAAAGGGTGAGTGGAGCCAGAGGCTGCGGGAGGGGACCCTCTCCCCAGGCCAGTGTCCCCGCCAGCAGTGTTTGAGGGGCAGATCCGCCCGCAGGCATCTGCACTATGGTGTCGGAGCAGGGCAGAAGGGACTCCTGGGGTTTTACTTATCTCCATGACCTCTAGCTGGAAAAATGACCCAGAACTTGCACGGAAGGACCACGGGCTCTGCCCTTCTGCCATTGTCATCGGAGCATCATTTGATAGCCCGCCCCCTGCCCCACGCACACACCAAGGAATTCTTAATAATTCAAGGTCAGGGTTGCAAACATATTCTGTAAAGGGCCGGCTGGCAGACATGACTTTGCAGGCCACAGAGCCACAGCTGCCACTGCTCACGCCGCAGGTGCGGCTGGAAAGCAGACGGACAAATAATAAGCCAGTGGGCGTGGCTGGGTTTCTGTAAAACTTCACTTACCAAAACAAGCAGGTGAGATCGGATGTATAAACGACATACAACTCCACCCGATTAAAACCTGGTCAAGGGACCTGAACAGACTTCTCTCCAAAGGAGACACATGAATGGCCAATAAGCACCTGAGAGGACCCTCCTTGTCCTCAGTCTTTAGGGAAATGCAAATTGGAACCCGAGGGAGACACCACTCCGCACCCACTAGGGCGGCTGTCAGAGTGTCGCGAGAAACCGAGCATCGATGGCAGGAACGGAAGGCGGTGCAGCTGGCGGGAAGTCAGCTCGGCTGAGGTCCCCCAGAAGACGCGACCTCCATGTGCCCCGCGGTTCGCAGAGTCCCCTCTGGTTAGGCACACGATGGCACTTCGGCTTGGGGATGATTTAAACAGCAAAATCACCAACCAAAAGCACAAACACCAAAAACATGGCGCCAGACAGGTGGCGAGGATGGGTGCTCGCCGTGTTGGGGTGCTGGGCTCCGCCGGCTGGGGTGCACACCTCGTGAGACTCAGATTTTTTGCCTCTGTGCACGCTCGTGGATGGCTGTGCACGCAAAGGCTTTGTGAGTAGGCAGATTCGCAAATGCGGGGTCTGAGTGATGAGGACGGACTGCAGCGTGAGCTGGCAGTCCCCAGAGGGCGGGAGACCTGGGGTGGACCTGGCAGGGCCCAAGGGCATGGGGTTGGGCCTCCTGCCTGCCCCTCCCTGCCAGGCCCAGTGACATTCCCAAATGCAAATCCCATCTCCTTCGCCTCCAACGCCGCCCTGCCCTTGAGCTTAGGGTGCGGGTTCCTTCTAGGTGGGGCTGGGTTCTGCAGGAGGGTTTCTGGGAACCAGGCACCCCCCCAGAAGTCCCGGCCCCACCACCTGCCTGCCCTCCGCTTCCCCGCACTACCCTCAGTTGTAATTTTAGGGCCTTCTGTGCCAGTACCACCATCACGCCCCCACCTTACACCGCACTGGAAGCTTGGGGGGAGGGGTGCTTCCTTTTTTCTCCCTGAAGCAACTCCAGGTTAAAGGAAGAAAGGAAGATGCAGATGTGAGGGTGTATGGCCAGCCATGGTCAGCCACCAACTCAGAAACCAAGGGTAGAGGGCCAAGAGACCCCTTGTCCCTTCCGGCTCTGATGGCCTCTGGCCCCAGTCCAGAGGAGGCACCGGGCAGGCGAAGGGCTTCCGGTCCCTCCTAGAGGGCAGTGTGTTGGCTGGGCCCTGGCCAGGCAGCCTGTCCTGAAGGCTGGTGCGCCATCCAGGATTGTCGCTGAAGGCTGGCGGTGGCAGGACCGGTCAGCATCCTGCATTTGCAACAGCAATGCTTGACCGTGGCCAGAACCATTTACATCAGTACTCAAGGTGTAAGGTGGAAAGAGCAGACGCTCCCAAACCAATCACGGCCCGGGAGTGCTCCTGTGAGGGGTACCCAGGCTCTTCCTTTTGCCAGCTGTGTGACTTTGGGCACTTTACCTAGCCTCTCTGGACCCGTTTTCGTACCTGTGAGCGGGGATGTAACAGCAAGTGCCTCCTGGACTCACTGTGAGGAATAAATGAGTTAATACATGGAAAGACCCATGCCTGGCACACAGCGAGCAGCGGATTAGCCGTTACATCATATGCGACATACGCCTATATATCATCGTACTATGTACCATACAAATGTATACACACATGAGAAACTATACACACATGTAGGTGTTATACACGCCCCTCTCTAGTGACTTTCTAAGTGACAAATAGTAGCCCAGCTCACCGTTGTGCATTTTGTTGTCACTTAATTATAAGTTTTGGAGTGGTTCCCAACCAAGCACGCGTATAATAGCTAACTCCGCATGTGAGGATCCGCTGTGTATTATTCCGTAGAAAGGAAGCACCGTGATTATCTGACCTTTCCTCTCTGAGGGACCTGTGGGCTATTTCCTAGGTTTCGGTGCAATGTGGCAGACAATTTATTACTATGGAACACAATCTTAGATGCATGATCTCTAATACAGCTGTTCTCTTCCTAAGAATATATTCTCTCCAGTCCCCAGCCCTGGGGTATCCATGCCACGTCCCAGGTATTAGTGGTGGCAAATGTGCGTCTCCGGATGCGCAGACCCTAAGGCACTCAGGGCTCTCCCTGCTCCCCACCTCCGCCCGGAGGGCGCGCTACGGGCCCCGCCCCAACCGACTGGACCCGCCCACGACAGGCCCCGCCCCATTCTGACCAGGCCCCGCCCCTCGG